GCATTTATAAGGTTTCTCTCCCGTGTGGATTCTCCCATGCTTAATAAGGCTTGAGCGCTGACTGAAACTTTTCCCACAGTCCAAGCATGTAAAGGGTTTCTCTCCCGTGTGGATTCTCCCATGCATAATAAGGCTTGCGCGCTGTCTGAAACTGTTCCCACAGTCCAAGCATTTAAAGGGTTTCTCTCCCGTGTGGATTCTCCCATGTTTAATAAGGCTTGAGCGCTGACTGAAACTGTTCCCACAGTCCAAACATTTAAAGGGTTTCTCTCCTGTGTGGATTCTTTCATGGCTAATAAGGCCAGAGCTCTGACTGAAACTTTTCCCACAGTCCAAGCATTTATAAGGTTTCTCTCCCGTGTGGATTCTCCCATGCTTAATAAGGCTTGAGCTCTCACTGAAACTTTTCCCACAGTTCAAACATGTAAAGGGTTTCTCTCCCTTGTGGATTCTCCCATGTTTAATAAGGCTTGAGCGCTGACTGAAACTGTTCCCACAGTCCAAACATTTAAAGGGTTTCTCTCCTGTGTGGATTCTTTCATGGCTAATAAGGCCTGAGGTCCGACTAAAACTTTTCCCACAGTCCAAGCATTTATAAGGTTTCTCCCCGGTGTGGGTTCTCTGATGTATAATAAGGGTTGATGGTGCACTGAAACTTTTCCCACACTCAAGGCATTTATATGGTCCTTCTCCTGTGTGGATTTTCCCATGGCTAATAAGGCCAGAGCTCTGACTGAAACTTTTCCCACAGTCCAAGCATTTATAAGGTTTCTCTCCCGTGTGGATTCTCCCATGCTTAATAAGGCTTGAGCTCTCACTGAAACTTTTCCCACAGTTCAAACATGTAAAGGGTTTCTCTCCCTTGTGGATTCTCCCATGTTTAATAAGGCTTGAGCGTTGACTGAAACTTTTCCCACAGTCCAAGCATTTTAAAGATTCCTCCCCCATGTGTGTTTTCTGATGTATAATAAGGGCTGATGGTGCACTGAAACTTTTCCCACACTCAAGGCATTTATATGGTCGCTCTCCTGTGTGGATTTTCCCATGGCTAGTAAGACCAGAACTCTGACTGAAACTTTTCCCACAGTCCAAGCATTTGTAAGGTTTCTCTCCAGTGTGGATTCTCTGATGTACAATAAGGGCTGATGGTGCACTGAAGCTTTTCCCACAATCAAAGCATTTATATGGCCTCTCTCCCGTGTGGATTCTCCTGTGGCAAATAAGGCCTGAGAGCTGACTGAAGCTTTTCCCACACTCAAGGCATTTATAGGGACGCTCTCCCGTGTGGATTCTTCCATGGCTAGCAAGGCCTGAGTGCTGACTAAAAGTTTTCCTACACTTCAAGCATTCATAGGGTTTCTCTCCTGTGTGAATTCTCCCATGCTTTATAAAGCCAGACAGCCAACTGAAGCTTTTCCCACAGTCCAAGCATTTATAGGATCTCTTTTTTGTGTGATTTGTCTGCTGGGCTGTGGTTTCCTTGGGACCATTGCCTCCTCTCCCACATTCAATAGATTCATCCACTTTCTCCCTTGGGTTGTTTCCCAGTTTCCTCTCTGACCTGCGCCAATTACTCCAGGCTGTTCTCTGTTCCAAGCACTGGGTAAAATTACTGTCAGATCTCAAAATGGTTCCCTGCATTTCCACCTGCTCAGGACCTTCCTGCTGTGGAGTCTCCTCCTCATTCTCACTCTTTGTCTGGTCACCTGCTGGGGGAGAGAATCCAGGCAGGAGTCATTGCTCATAGCACATTTTGGAGATTTTCAGCTTTTTCCTTCATTTGCCAGTTTCTGTGTCAGTATCACTGGCTCCTCACCTGTGTGAGTGTGTCTTGGGACCTTCCTTTCCTCAGAGGCTTGGAGATCCGGGACCCATGGCTCTCCCCCTGCTTCCAGCTGGGCGACCAGGTCAGGTTTGGGAATGAGAAGTCCTGCTCAGGGGGTGAAATCAGGCATGAGCAGAGTGCACAGAGGATTGGTGGAGTATTTGTCACAAAGGGCACATCTCGAGTTTAACTTGACCCCATTATTTGCTGGGGGGTTGTGAGATCTGAACAGATGGGAACATGATCACTGAACCCCCTTGGAATTGGGCGATGTCTGGTGAGGAGGGGAGTTGTCACACCCTCACTGGGAGTTTTCAGGGGCTGTGTGCTCTGGGGGACTTGCTGAGGCACATGCAGCTCTGACATTAACCCCTTGCCTCTGTTTAAACCTCAGAGCCCTCCCCACACATGGAGCTAGTCCCATGAAGGAAAGTACACAGAGAACCTGTTTGAAGTGAGCATTAATGCAGAGAGGATAATACTCTGCTTCTGCCCCCATGACAGCTGGAGGGATGGAGATGAATTAGCATGTCCATTAGCTCCATGACTCCCTTATCCCATTGGAGGGGGTTTGGAGGTGAATGGTTCTCTAACCCTGGAGCTGTGGACTATGTGACCCATTTCCCTCTAATCTAACTGACCAGGGAAGAACCTGACCAAGTGCAGAAATGCAGGCCCCAGGACTTCAATAGCTGAGGGGACAGGAATCCTTACCCAGTGAAGTCACAGTCTCATAGTTCTCCTGCATGACGTCCCTGTAGAGTGCTCTCTGACCAGGGTCCAGCAGAGCCCCCTGCCCCTCGGTGAAATACACAGCCACCTCCTCGAAGGTCACCGGCATCTGAAACAACAGGTGCTCCCCACTCAGTGCCTGGTGCCCCAGCCACAATCCCACTATTCATGGGGAAAGAAGCCCAAAAATAGGACAGCTCTGGGAGGGTCAGTGGAGCAGAATCCCACCACCACCTTGCTCAGAGTGGCCAGGAGGCTCCGGGGAACAGAGAGAAGGCTAGAGCCCCTTGTACCTCCCAGCAGATGGGGAAGTGCGGGGATCTTCTCATTTATCACCCATCTACTAGGCACAGGCTGATGTGGGAAGCAGAGTTCTGCGCAGGGAACAGGGTCAGGAATCCCAGCACCTTCCTTTGTATTTCTCAGCAGTCTCTGCCTAGTGGGTTCAGGCTCCAGCACTCTGGTCTGTTTTCCCAGCCCTGTCCAGGGGGTTGTTTCCTGTTTCAGAAATGGGGGAATGTTCACCCCGCCAATGGGCCTGTTAATAAATCAGGTCCTAAGCTGAGCATGTCCCAGCAGGTTTAACACACCCTGTCCATCTCCCTGCCTCACCCTGTTTGTTTCCTGCCCCTCCCCCTCTACAGCAACCCTCCCCACCAGCTCCCCCCAAAATCCCCTACCTGAGCTGGATCCACCATAGCCATTTCCCTTCCCTGTCCCCTAGGACGATGGAATGATCTGGAACAAAACAGGGTTGTTATTCTGCAGCCTGTCAGGGTGAGAAGGGCAATTGGGGAGGTTTCTAAATTAGCATTAGTCCCTTTCACACTCCAATTCTCCCCAAGCTCTTTCCCTGCAGACAGATACTCTAGACCAGGGGTTCTCAAACTGGGGGTCGGGACCCCTCAGGGGGTTGCGAGGTTATTACATGTGGGATCATGAGCTGTCAGCCTCCACCGCAAACCCCGCTTTGCTTCCAGCATGTATAATGGTGTTAAATATATAAACAAGTGATTTTAATGTACAAGGGGGGGTCGCACTCAGAGGCTTGCTGTGTGAAAGGGGTCACCAGTACAGTAGTTTGAGAACCACTGCTCTAGACTCTGCCATGCTGAGAAAACCCTGTTACGTTATTACAACAAGGACGTGATCCCCCTGATCTCCCTCCCCTCCCCCCGGACTAAACCCACAAGACACTTTTAAATCCTCCCAGGAACACAGTCTGTGAGCCAAATGCTAGAAAAGAGCAGAATCAAAGGTGCTGCTTGGGGGATCCCTCCTGACACTGTCCCCAGGGCAGCACATTCCCCCAGCAGCGCGGGGACCAGGCAGAGGCAGGAACTGGCGTTTCCTCTCCCTGCTCCTCCCCTTCTCCCCAGGAAAGTCAATCTGCCCCGGGATGCTGCAGGGAATGGAGTTGGGCAGGGTTAGAAGCTGGGAACTTCCCTCCCCACTGATTGCTCCTGCTGCCCCTGCCAGTCTCTCCTGTCTCCCTTCTGCATGGAAGAACTGGTTACTGTCCTGCCATTCCTGTGGGCGTTTCCTCTCCAATAGCTCCTGTCACCGCTAACAGGAGTGTGCGCCTGGGTGTGTTGGGGGCAACAGCTCTGGGTGTGTCGGGGACAGCAGACACCCGGAAGCAGAGATGGGGCAAAGCAGGAGCCATTTCTGCAGAGTCACTTTCCTGCCTATAGGTCTCTCATCACCTGTAGTCTCTGGCTCAGGAGTTGATGCCAGCAGAGTCCAGGGCTGCCCTAGGGGGCTAGTTCCAGCCACAGGAGAAAGTCCCCCCTCAGCTGGACACAGAGGGGCTTTAATGATAGTCTGTCCCAGCACAGACCCCGCTGGGGAGCAGCAGCTGCTCAGTGTGGACTCCCAGATCACAATGGAGGCAGCATCATGTGCCCCAGGAAGCCCAGCTGACTCTAGGGTTCCAGTATCCTGAGCACAGAGAGAGAGACTGACACCGGCCTCTTTGGCCTTAGCAATTACCAGAGCCCTCTCGTGGGGGCAGCTAATAACCGAGCCGCCCTGTGCTGCCCCTGCAGCCCCAGGGACAGTCAGGTCGATATTGATTTCACTTGCCCATCTGGACTCATAGTGGAATCGGAGACCCAGTTCAAACCGGTATTTTATACATTAACTGGAACTGAATCTCAACCTTAAATTTGTTTTACCAACTGAACCTCAAAGGAACTGAACCAAAAAAAAAGGGGATGGGGGAGGGGTGGTGTTACCAGCTAAAATAAAGATTTGGCATTTTTAAGCTCATTATTTTTAAAAAACCCAAAAACCTATAGTGATCTTATTTTCATTTAAGAGAAGACAACAAACTAGCCAATGGGCTGGTGATGGCTCCCAGAATGACCTGCCCGAGGACAGCGAAAAGAGAATGAGAATAGAAGGGGGCCAGACCACAAGAGCAGGGAGGGAGAGGGGAAGCTTGGGAGCTGCCTGCACACCATGGGAGGCAGAATGGGGGCCAGAGGTAGATGAGCCACCTCTGAGATGCCCCCCTGGGGAGGGCTCCCTGGACCCTGAAGTTCATAACTCTTCAAGTCGCAGGGCAAAGGTAATGGCTCCCCAACCTTCTCCCCATAGACAGGCCTCCGCCCACCCTCCCAACCCCTGGGGCAGCTCCTCCCTCCAGTTGTCCCACTTGAGGCAGGGTTCATGCTCCAAGCTGCCTTCCTCACTGAAGCCACCTGCAGGGCCCCCTCCCAACCTCCTCCAGGCACTTTCTGATACCCACCTCCAATATTTTTTTTAGGTTTCTCAAACAGATTATTTAGGAAAAATAATCATGTATATTTGACAACACAAAAACACTAGGAAAACTCATGTAAAGTTAAAGTTACAAAATAAATAAATAATCAAAAAATCACAGTTTCCATTTTAAGTTGCAGCTCTTTCTTGGATTTACCTTCACTAAGATTGAAATAGGATTTAAACCAGTAACTGAACTTCTATTTTTGTTTCTTTGGGTCGCTTGAACCAGAAATGAAACTGAACCTGAATGAAACCAAAACAAATACCAGATGAATTCCTTGCCTGCTGTTCCCAGCAGTGACTCTGCTTTGACACAGAAATCAGAGCAGGACCCTGTTCAGTCCTGTCAGCCCCAAACATTTATCACTGAGGAGTCAGACCCCCCAAATAATGAGATTGTCTTAAAAAAAAACAAAGATAAGGGCCGGTCACTACCATGGGAGATCGGCAACTTCAGCTACATGAATACCGTAGCTGAAGTTGAGGTACTTAGATCTGCTTACTGCGGTGTCTTCCCTGTGGTGTGTTGATGGGAGACACTCTCCCATCAATTTCCCTTGCGCTTCTCCTGGATTCAATGGGAGAGCGATCGCCGATCGATTTATCGTGTACTAGACACGATAAATCAACCCCCTGCTGAATTGATCGCTGCTCCGTTGATCCAGTCAATAGTGAAGAAATGCCCTAAATTAGGAGCAAATGTGTGCGCAAATAGGGGCGGAAGCGGGAATATTTGCCATGTAAATTCTGAGCCCTTAGGGCAGACCTGCACAACATACGGCCCACATGTGACCCGCGTGGGCTCACTGTGTGGCCCGTGCAGGGTGACCAGACAGCAAGTGTGAAAAATCGGGACGGGGGTGGGGGTAATAGGCGCCTATATAAGAAAAAGACCCAAAAATCGGGACTGTCCCTACAAAATCAGGACATCTGGTCACCCTAGGCCCGTGGGGGG